TCCTTATGTTAAATTCATTATCTTTGTGCGCAAAACAACGTTCCGTGCAAATCAATGCACAGCAAACGGTAAAAGATAAAAAATCGATCGACTTGCAGCACACAGGTGCGCGATCTCGCGAGCGTATATTTGCCCGTTCGATTAGACCGAAGAATTTAACGTGCCTTATCGCAAGGGGAGAATACAAGAGAGAGCGAGCGCTTAGAGAGCGACTCCCGATTCCTCAGCACGCGGTGAAATTATAGTGTTTACGTGAATTAGATTTTGGTTTCGGTAATTTTCAGTTAATAACGACGAGGCGAACTGGCCGGCAAGCGAACGCTAAGTGCGGCCTCAGGCCCCATTAATGCTATTATAATGTAAAAGGCTACCTACACGTCCTACTCTCTCTTTCTTTTCCTTTTCTCTTTCTAACCTCATCTTTCTTTTTCTCTCCTTCGCCCTCCCTCCCTCTCTCTCTCTCTCTCTCTCTCTCTCTCTCTCTCTCTCTCTCTCTCTCTCTCTCTCTCTCTCTCTCTCTGCCTCGCTTTCCTTATGCGTCGATGAACTCGTAGTTGCACACGTCGCGAGTGTACGTGAACAAAAAGGAAAATCCGGCGGAGGTTTAGGCCCGTTGTATATTATCGGCATTACGTCGAGGCTACTTGCATTATAAGCTCATTTCCGATAAATTGACTCGATTAAAAACTGCCGCTTAAGAACCGCGTAAACCACTTCGATCCTTCCCTCCTCCATCCCGCGCCCGTCTTTTCGACCCCCGCTTTCTATCGAACCGCCCGCTTCTAGAAATTTACTCGATCGGCTGCCGTTTTCTCTAAAGACTTCGTATATGAGCGTATATTGATGTATGTAACAGCTATACGTTTCACCGATATGCGCGGAACGTGACGAGGATACTCGTAGTCGTTGCGAATTAAGTCTCTTGCAAAATTTAAAATTAACTACGTGAAATCAAGCACGTACACAGACGAATGAAGAAAATATAGTTTGAATGCTGAATACGTACAAGTATAATTAACATATCGTGTATAGTATAACAATAAAAATTTTAATTTTGCGATTTGGGGAGATATCTTAACTGTCAAAGTTTGTATTTACACGTCTCGTATATATTACTTTTCTATACTTAATAAATAGAATATATATATTGCGAAATTATTTATTTAAAATGTTCAATAATTCAATTTAAATTAATATTTATTGTTCCATGATTGTCTTTAAAGCTTTTATTTTGACGCAACTATTCGTCTCTTTATTAACCGGTAGCTTGTAATCCTGTTTCTTGAAGCCACCGGTTTACGGATATTTATTGCTAACGATTCCGTTACAAGTTTACAAGCAATATCGAACGCCGTTACACGATCGCCACGACGGCGGGATTGCGATCATGCCAAGGTGCGGGCTCATATAAATTATTAATTCCTACGAGGTAAAGTCGTGGTGAAAGGAGTGATATCTTTGGCGCACGCGCGCATATGTCAGCATTTATATTTAAAGTTTATTTATTTGTATTCGCTTCTTTTTACCAAAAATATATGATAATAAATCATTGTATCCGCATATATTTCCTAATTTCATATTTGTAATATCGCGTTATTTATATCTAATATTAATTTTTACTATATAGGTTTAATCTTTTCCTAAAATAGATATATACATCGTTATTATAAAAATTTAATTAATCCTATTTGTGAACTCAATTTTACAAAATTAGCCTAATTTATCACTTTGATAAAAAAATTCAATGAATAAAATTCATGGTAGTTATACATTTTTTAATACTAATAATAGATTTGTGTTATTTCTATTTGAGGTAGAGCTTTATCGAAGAAGAATGCACTAATACGCGTCGAATGCAATGACTTCATCTAATTTGCTTAGACCGCAATGTTATACGCAGTCGTATAACATTGTGACGGATGGCATTGATGTCGAGTGAACGGCTCGAATTTTTTCACTTTTACCGCGAAAACGCACTGCATCTCACGATTCTGCGCGAGATATTTTTTTCGGTCTGAATAACGATGCAGCGCGAAGATTAACCGCGGCGGGTTTGCAAGATGCAGCGGGAGGGCGCGCGATTAAGGGGGTTGCGTTTGAAAATGAACAGGCGCGAGAGAAGCGACCATTTGCTGTTTATAAGCTGTGCATTACGTGAGCATCTCTCTCATTTTTTTTTTAGAAGGGCAACTTACAGCAGTGTGATTTTTTTATGCAAGAAGACGTTCTCGAAATAGCAAACGTAGTTTGCACGCAGATTTATTTCGAGATAATGTAATAGCTACATTACTTTAATTAAAATATTGCAATGTATCTTCTGGTAGTTAAGCTCTTCGCCATTTTTATTTTTGGACCTGAATTCTTATTGTTGAAAACGTCCTACTATGCAAGAAGCATTCACATTTAAAAAATGTATTTAATAAGCGATATATCCTTTCTAATTTCTCATTAAAAATGTTTTCATTAAATAAAAACTCTTATCAAACTAAATTTTACTTCAACACATTCCATATACAAACTAAAATATATTGGACTAAAATATCTAATACCTTATAATATATATACTTATAAAAAATATTAGTAACACTTATGAAAAATGTATTTGACATTGACATCAACCGATGGTATTATGACCGATGGTATTGATACCTCTCTCCTGCACTGATTACGGAGAAGATACTCGGCACGCCAGAGCGAAATTGTTCAAAGTTGGTTTTTATTTAAAGGACTAAAATTTCTTACAGCTTAACAACTGCGTTAATGGTTAGCCTAATTATACAGCGGTTACTTCGTAACCACTTTCCACGAAGGCGGAAATTTGAAACGCGGAAATTCCAAATCCCGAGATGGTTTACGGCCGGCGCGCGGCGTGTCGAGCAGGCCGTCGGCGTCGTTTAAATCCGCTCGCAGCGGAAACTAGACCGCAGCGATTTCCCTGACCATTCGTGGAATCCGATCGTCACTGATAATACGTTGTGGTCACCGTTTCACGTGGCAGCTGGATGAATCGTTTCACACTACGTTTGCGTTTTGGTCGCGATTAGATGGCCTAACAAGAGCCCTGCGTTATCCTATTCATTCTAAGGTATCGACCGATTCATCAATGTTATTGTATATGTATTATCGTGCCTCTATGAATTTTTATCTTGTTTTAAACAATGTGTTTTAAATAATATATGTTTCAAACAATTGATATGACATTTAGAGAATTATACGTAAATGTGTGAATTAACATCTGTAATCTCAGATCATACGTGCAAATTCTAATTTTATTTAGAAGAACTTTTAAACTTTGATATTGTTATTTTTAGTTTTGCGGTCTTCTCGAAACTATCTTGCTCGCATAGATAATCTAATGTAACAATGTAACAATTGTTTTTTATAAAAGCGATGACATGGAGCGCAACAATTATAGACTAAAGGTTGAAAACTTAATTTAATTTGTAAAAATTATAATCTGGGTCATTGTCATTTGATCCGCAAAGTCTTACAATTAAACCCTCAGTTATCTCACCAGGGTCTAAAAGACCCTGCACGTGTTTAAAACTCGCGCCCTTTTTGAACGCGCAGTGGTGGGGACTCCGGACCCGGGGAGGGGGAGGGGAAAGTTTGAAGGTTCTAGCACTTATAGCCTGGCCACTTGGCAAGTGGCACTTGCGAGAGTCAATTCGGTCGAAGCAGCCACGGGAGAAAGTGAGAAGTGGGACGATAGGGTCACTCAGACCCTGGTGAGGTAATAGCGTGACAAAAACGATTTTTGCCAAAATACAAGTAAATAAGTAAATCTTATTAAAAACAGTGCATTTATGCAATACATATAATGATAGAAAAAATATTCTGTGTTGTAGGTATAAAAAGTAAAATATTGGATTTTATTGGTTTACAGAATCAAATAATATCTAGTAGCTTTTAGCGTCAAGATATTAATTTTACGACAGCTGCGACATTTTCAAGTAAACTCTAGTAAATATTTACAAAACTTTTTTAACCGAAATTGTTTAATTTTTTCATTATAAGGATTATTATTATTATTATACAGAAATGGAGACAAGGTCTCGCACTCGGTCAACGGCCAATCGTGGTACAATCCCATGTGTAACGAACATGTCGCAAAAATATGCAGCACTTGCGCGTCGCAATATAATTTTTTTTTCATGTGTTTATTTTTAATAAATATTTTTTTCATGCATTTTTATTGCATGTATTCAACATTTTTACCGATTTTATACAAAAAACATGAATTTTTACCTTTCCATAGACGCCATTTTGTATTAGCCATATGAAACTTTTTGAAAAATATTTTGTTATTTTTCTACATGTTTATATTTCATGCCCAAGGTTGCAAGTTTTACGATTTAAAAAAAATCCGTTTTTTAAAGACAATATTTGATCAATTTTCTTCAAAATAATGAAATTTCAGTTTGTAAAAAAAATATACTTTTTGGAACCAATCGTTATGACACTAATTTCTTCTTAAAGTACAACTCTTGACCTTTCGAATTATGTATTATAAAACCCTTGTATCTTTTTTTTAGTCAGTACTACGTCAATTTGAAAAAAAGCAAATTTTTTCGCTTTTTCAGAAAAACACGTTTTCTTTTTTTTTAAAATAACATTTACATTTTTTAATTTGGAATAATCTAACCCACACAGTCTTATAGATCTTTAAAAGATGTATCGATTAAAAAAAAAGACGTCAAATTGATGCATTTGTCTTAAAGATACAAGCTGGAGAAGACGCCAGGGTTTCTCAGACCTTGGTGAGGTAATATCGGGGTGTAAAAACGTAACTGAGGGTTAACCTAAAATTTTATTCACGAATTAAATTTGGACTTACGAAAATTATGCTGGCTTCAGCCCATGATCCGTGCAGATACAACAACCTCCGAATCCTCGTGAAACGTAAAACCCTATAATTATATTATACTTGTGTTAGTACAAGTGACAAAATTATACCTGTGTTATTATTCGAGAGATGACGTAATTATTTTTCTATGCAGATCATTCGTTGCGAGGAGGCAGCGAGCAGGCCGTCCCGCAGACGAGTCCTGCGAGCAGCACGAGCAACTCGAGCCAGGTGACTCAGGTGAGCCAGCAGCCTCACCCGCAGCCTCACCAGCAATCGGCGCCGGCGTCAGCGACGACGACGACGACGACACCTCAATCCACCCAAATGGGCATCTCTACCGAGGAGGTAAGGCCCGAGGAAGAGGGCACCCACCCGCGAGCGGCGCCGACCAGCCCCGAGAGCGAGGCGGAGGCCGACGACTTTACGCCCAAGAGAAAGCAGCGTCGCTACAGAACGACCTTTACCAGCTTCCAGTTGGAGGAGCTTGAAAAGGCCTTCTCCAGAACGCATTATCCGGACGTGTTTACGAGGTAAGTTGACTGACCATCGAGCAGTGTTCTAATAATCTCGAGCTTTATCTCGAGGCCTAAAACAGCCGGGATGAGTGGTGTTCGGACGGAATTTTATTTAGGATCGAACTCTCGGTATGCAAAGACTGTATAGGGATCGTGATTTCACAAAAGCAAAAATTTCTTTTAAATTGAAATGCGTAACACGTTGCATTTACTTAATTCTTATACATGTAGGTACTTACCATTCATCTGTGGTAGAATACCTATAACCAAATGAATAGTGACACATAGCATAAAACAAATAATTCTCTAGCAATAAATCAGAAGATAAGGAGATATTTTAAAACAATTTTTTTGTATTTATTTTATACACATTTATAGCACTAAATGCTTGCTGCAAAATATGCGGCTGACTAATCGAGCATTAAATTAGTCACTTGATTGCAATAAAACTATATTCAAAAGCGTTGTATTACATTTCGATTTCGTGTCTTTCATTCTCATTGTTAAATATATAAATGTGAAGTAACGAAATATATATTTTCTTTAGAATTAGTTTGGATTATTTATGTGAATGTCACTAGAAGAGAAATGCGTGAAATCAGAAAACATGAGACTAATTTGATATTACATAGCCGTTCCCCATTGGCAATGCTTCACGAGAGCGTTCGAGCGAAGATCAATTGTTACAAAGCTGTTTAGAGTCGCAATCCCTCTTCCGTAGACAATTCTGACGACTAAGAGCTTATGGTATATCTCGGTGGCGGGATAGGAAGCTCGTGTACCTCCCGTGGATCCAGACGATAGGCAAGGTGTCTAGCCGCATTTATCAGGCTTTAGGAGGGAGTAACGGGATTTAGATAAAATTTAAGAGACCGACTATCGGCTGCCACCCAAATATTTGGTTGTCTGGCTCCTGTGCACTCTCCCGGCTATCGCCGATATCGTCGCTCGCTACTTACCAAATTCTTTTTCAAAAAATCGTCTCTCGTCGCAAGATATTTACGGTGCGCACAGGTAGTCCTTGAGCACGGTTATAAAAGAGATCTGGTTATCCTAAGTGTATACTACCTGAAACAGCCCCGAAATAATGATGACCGGGTGACGGCTGGAGACACAACGCGTGTATAAGCATATCGCGTTTTAAAAAGGTATGCTTAATGCGTGTTAACGCAGGACCTTAGGTATCAAAATCTTAAAATAATAGATACATAAATGGAAAAAGAAACGATTACTCGCGCGCGACAATTGATAATATTAATACATCTGTTACTACAATTAACAAGCATTTCATACCAGAATTTTATGTTTAGCAAAATTTTATTTTAAAACTAAAAGAATTTGGGAAATATCATAAATATTAATAATTAGAATATAAGGTAATCAATGTTTATTAAACTTAATAATATCGTTCATTAGTCTTACTCTTCTAGTTAATAATAATCTTTTTCAAGTTTCACGCATTCAAAATAATTCTGACATAAAACTACATATTTTTTAGTACGCATACGCATTTTAGAAAAACAAAGACAAAATTAAAATCAACTCGGAAACAAAAAATCTTTCAAAGCGCTTTTAAACGTAGTTTTGAGTAATGATCATGCCCGTTTCCTTCTTTAATTCTGAATTCATGGCAGATTCTAAAATAAATCACCTATCCATCCATGCAAATCTGCAAAGGTAAATTCGCGAGTGTAAATTCGTGGAACGATACATCGATCATTGGGGGCCTTCCTACCAGTCAGACTGACGATCCTCATGCAAATTCCCATCGGTATATAGACGCGGAACGACGGTTTTGCATTATTAAGTCCCCTGCACACCCGGGTCCAGTTACATACGTACAGTATATCGCGCCGCCATTGGGCCGCGGCGCAATCTATCTGGGTAGCTTTTTCTTTCCCCTTGCCCTTTTTTTAGTGCCTTCCTCCGCGCCGTGGAACACCCGGTAGGTAACTAATAGCGGTGTAATCGCTCGTAATAGGTCCGGTCCTGCGGCCACGGTATGGGTTCTCGTAATTAACGAAGATGGTGGGGAGTATGCAGAGAGAGGTGAAGCAGGCAGGTAGTGTGTTTGTGGTGTACAGTCAGGGCTGGAGATGTATTCGCGAGTATGCGAGACAAGCTACACACATCCATGTGTATCCGCGCGTGAAACTGCGACGAAGATAGCTCTAACGAGCAAAATACGCGTTCTTTATCTAACAATTCTAACGGAACTAGAAAGGACCGAAAAGGAGAAGAGGAGGATTCCGAACGACGCTCCATTGTAGCGAAAAACTTTGAAAATTTCTAATCTGTGATAAACAATATTGGAAAACATATTGAAAAATACTTGTTAGTTTTTGTAGCTATTTGATTTAGAAATTACCAGTATATCGACTTCTGAGAAATCATTAATTTTAATTAGATGAAAGAATTAATAACTAAGAAGAGTATAGAGAACTTGGCTATATTATAGATTTGAAAGAGGCGAATATTATCGTCTTGCTCTTCTTTAGAATAGCGAAATAATCTCGTAAGCATTTAAAAGCAATAAAGTTTCGTAATTTAATAACATATCTCGCGAGTCCTGTCACCCGTCTGATTTTCAATCATCCAGTGTATTATATATATTTTCATGATAAATATATACCTACCCCCTTATAAAACCGACACCTATTTATTTATTGCTATAAAAGTTCCTTTTCTTCTCAAGAAAATAACCGGTAATTGGCTCGATTGGCTTCTAATAACATTCGTCGCCCGTATTAATTTATTCCTTATCCACTTATACGGGCTTCCTGCCTACGGAAAATTGCCCGACGTTTTCTGCCGTTTCGCAGTATAAATTGATCCCCTGTTTCTTCCGCTATTTCGCCGTGTGGTAGTATTAATTTCGCGCTAATTGGATTTTATGGTCGCTTAGGTTTATTGACTAGCCTGACGAGAAGGAGAGGCAAGAGGAGAGAAAGGGAAGAGAGTAAACCGCATCGTGGAACACGACGCATATTCATTAGACGCGTCTTTATCCATAAGGGCAGAGCCGCGTGCGATTGGGACCTATCGAAATATATATATCGATGGCCCAAGAGGGTACTAGCGCGGCCTTAACTTCCTGAACATCGCGAATGAAAATTCATTCGCCAATAAAAGACACGTGTTCCCGCACGGCGGGCCGTGTACATCCAATTGGACATCGATAAACATTTCTCTTATGTGTTTCATCGTTTATTTTTCGATCGGTAAAACACAGCGGCCCGAGAGCAGTCAGACGAGCTCTCCTCTGGGTCCTTGGCGTTCAACTTTAGATACTCTTACATCCATAAATTGTAACATGTATAATATAATTCTTTTTTTTATTTTTTCGCATTTTTATTTATTTATTTGTCTTATGTGATCTCTTTTTTCTATTTCATTCATATAAATCTTCTTTTTCTTTGCTTTAAATTCATCTTAATTCCTTTTTTTATTATTGGTAGTTACCATATTTTTATTCATTTACTTTCAATTTTGGCCCTATTTTCTCGAAAACGGTCTCTTGATTTTGTCTGCGATTGGTACGACACTGACAGAGACTAGGAGGAGGTAGCCCCGAACAAGCTGTTGACGACGGGACAACGTTTTGTGGAATGCCGTTTCCGAATGCGATAACAGATAACCGCGGGATTTTTTGCGGGAGCCGCGAATACGAGGCCCGAAGTCCGAGTGGCATTTGCGAGGGAGCGGGCGGATCACCAGATTCGTCCTGTTTATATGGCACTTAAAGCCGGCTTGCCACGTAGGCTCGCGAAAGAGCGTGGCCACTTACCTTTACGGGCTCTTAAGATCTAATTTAGATTGGAGTGTTGCGACTCGGGGCCCGCGCTGCTACCGACGACGGACTAATCGTTCGACTGTGAGCGGTCCTGACCAGTTCCCCGACCTGTCCCTGTTGGTTTTAATTTTTTATCCCGTTGTAAACTCCAGAAGAGAAAGAGAGAGAGAGAGAGGCCAAAGAGAAAAAGAGAGAGAGAAAGAGGGAGGAACGGAGCGCGATTGAAGCGATGAGACCTCATCGTCTTCCCAAATGTCCGACTACGGCTACTTACTTTCTTTCTGGCGAACGACGTAGCTAATTAATAACCTCGTAAACGTTAACACGTATACAGCGTGTTTAAACGCGGTTACTTCCAGTGTGGGATTTCAGCCAGTTCTCATATACCAACATTGATACAAAATTAGTAAAATTTAGTCAAGCAATATTTGCGCGAGCTTTGCTTTGCTATTCGATCTCTTATTTTTATATCGCTTTCTAATTATTGTTAGAAATTAGTACATTAAACGGAAGTTATTTCAATTTAATTGCTTGAATTTGTTTTGTGAGTGTCTGAAGGATACCTAAGCTATGTATATATATATATATATATATATATATATATATATATAATCGTAACAAAACTCTTTGATGATTTTCCGTTTCTTAATTACTCTGACGAGCCGGGCGCCATTTCGGTCCCGAATTCGCTTCGAAAACCTGACTCGGCGGAATATCGCGCGCGGCCACGGCCACCCCCGTCGCGCGCGTTCTCAATCTATCCGCCCGGTGGATCCATAAAATTTATCGTCCGTTCGCGTCGCGTTTCGAGGGATCCACCTGTTCAAAGGGCCGCGCGACGCGCTTCTCGGTAAATCATTCCGAAGGATGCCTTTATATCCGCGGGGTGGGCCGGTGGTGAGTTTAATAAGGATGATTGTTTCCAGTGATCCATGGAACGGAACCAGTTCCACGGAGCGGTCTCTCTTCTTCTGTTCTCCCTTTCCCCTCTTCCCCCCTTTCTTCCTACCACCGCGATTCTAGTCCTCGTCTCTGGTCCCAGACTCTCCGCTGCGTCCTGGACCCGCAACTCCTCCTGTCATTAATCGACCGACGACGAGTCATGCTCCCGATTAGAAACGCCGCCGACCCGTTATTCGTTTCTCAACAAATAAGATTAGTGCCTTCCGGAGTTAATTAGTGAACGATGTTGCCTCGTCCCACGGAAGCGGCATTGGATCTC